ACTATTTTTCCTGCTGGATTTCTTGCAAGAGTTGCGGGAAATTTAAGAAAACGATTTTTCTACCTGGCACTCCACTTTTCGAAAATAAAATCTTTGGTTGTTCCAGGTTGTTCTAGTTGTTCTAAACATTGTTCCAAAGTATTAGTTTGATTGGTCGAAAACTTGAAAAGATATCGGGGAAAAAAAGTATTTTGTAAAAACAACCGTTTTCGGCCATTTCTTCACAAACCAAATAACATACAACATTGTCGATTTACAATATATTAATAACCGCATAGACTAACTCAGAACAAAAATTTCTCTCGGAGCAGTCCGGTAGAAAAAAAGCAGTATCATTGGCTTAACAGTCGAATACGTAGAGAAAAATTGACCATTTTCTTGAATCTTACGTCTTAAAGTCTCGTTGCGGACGTCGCGTTAGGGGCGCGAGTTCGCGAAAAGAGCGGGGCGAGACGCATCGCGCGATTTTTTTCTTCTTTTACCGGCGCCTCGCGAAGCTTTACGTAATCGGTAAACACGTTCATGCAGTAACTCCGTAGCGGCGTCGTACGAAATGATAATTACGTCCCCCTCCGCCCCCCCCCCCCGCCCCCCTTCAACCGTGTACCTCGCCACGGCGCGACGCAGGAAACTGCGCGTGCACAGGTGCATCCCGCGACTGCACGTCAGTGCCTCGCTTATCGGCGGCGATCGCGTGCCTCGTGTTCGCGGAGCACATCGCGATCCCACGTCACACGATCTACGATTTTTTGTCAAAGGCATCGCCTCCCCGCGAGAGGTGTCGCGCGACTAAATTATTCGGCGATGAATCCTCGAAGCTTTCGTATCCAGGAAATGCTCGACTGCCGCGTTGATCTCTCGAATATTGATGCTCTGAAATTAACCGGGGAGGGAGTAAAACCTGATCTACAATGTGCTCTTTGCGTCTGGAAACGTTCTGTTTTATGTAAGCGAGTCGAAGCACTTAAAAATTGCTTATCGACAATGTACAATTGCGCGAGGTATAACTTATCAACTTGCACAAATTTTTTAAACGTACTTGTTGGCTACAAAATAGAATGTTTCTAGGCGCAACGAGCATTAAGCCTGATCTACAACGTGCTCTCTGCGTCTCGAGACATTCTGTTTTATCCAAGCAAATCGAAACGCGTCGGAAATTTGTCGACAGCATACGATTGTACGATGTATAATGTACCATTTATCAGCTTGCGCGAATAATTTTTTAAACGTACTCGTTGGCTACAAAATAGAAGAACGTTTCTAGACGCAAAGAGCACTTTGTAGATCAGGCTCTAAAGTTGAAAAGAAACGTTTTTATATATTTGGATCTTGTTTTTTTTTAGATTGTTTTAGATCTCTAATTTCCGTTTTCGGGACGGAGTTTTAGTTATGATTTTATCGTAGTGTGCATTTTTATGTGTATACGTATTTTAATATAATTTAACGTATAAAATAAAATATACATAAAATCATAAATAGTAAAAATATAAAGCTGACAATGATAGAGATCAATAATAAATACAAACATGCGAAAGAGCCAGTTGTTCGTGCCAACCTTTATATTTCGGCACAATCAAGACGAATAACAAACGTTTCGGTCCTTCCTCAGTATTTTACATGTAAATTTACAATTGACCGAATAACAATTATTACAGTCCAATCGTATGAAAACAAAGCAGTGAGCAAAAACGCAATGCACGAAGT